ACTCCCAGAATTCCTCAGCCAGCATGGCTGGCTGGGGAATTCTGGAAGTTGAAGTCCACACCTCTTAGTGGCCAAGGTTGAGAAACATTGGTCTAGGGGTTTAATGCACATGGTTCACACTCTCTTTGCATGCTGTTCTTTGTGTAACATGAGAACGTTACCCATTCAACCTCGGAACATAAGGAACTTGACTTTGGCAGCAACATGGTCTTTTGAGTTTTAAACTTTTCCCCCCTGACTTGCTCTCTGTTGATTCTAAAATGCTCAATATTGGAGTTTCTTTTTCCTCTAAGCTGCACCTTCTGAATTCCTTTGCAGGTTGATACAATAAAGGAAAAGGTGAAAGTTGATTCTTTTCCATCTTTAAGTCTGGAGGCTTAAGTCTAAGGATATCTGCATGAGTTTTTTTTTTCCTCTTTCCTACCTTTCCTACACTGCTGCTATTGCTTTCTGCCCGCCCGCCCCTGAAAAACTGTCACTAAAGCCTCTGCAAGTTAAAACCAGAGTCATAGCTGTAGGACAGAACAGTAGACACTAATTGGCTAATCAACTCTCCAAGAAGGCTAGAAGCAATCCGCTGGATCATGGTTTGAAGAGGTCACCAGACATTTAACCCTGTCCCCAAGAAACCTTAAAAAAGGGGGGGGGCAGGAAAAGCTGTTGCGGTTGCTTAACTGGATCTCCTTGAAGGGTGGTGGGGGCAATTTGGTTTTCCACTTGATGGTGTATATTTTCCCCTCCCTGGAGAGGACCGTGATCTTGCGAGTCTTACTAACATGTCTCGCTGGAAGTGGGCAAATCCCGAACGGCTAGCTGCTTAGAGACTCCCCCCACAACACCAGCCAGGCTCCTCTGCTCCTCCTGGCTGCCTCCTGCTCCAGCAGAAGCCAGCTTCTGAGGCCTGGGTCTTCTGATTTATTCTTCACACCGTAACCCCCAAAACCTACCAGGCCTGTTTAAGCCTGAGCCGATTTGCCAAGGCATCCATTCCCCACAGCTAAGCCATTCTTCCTGGCCAGCAGCGTTCCCCGAAATTGAATGTCCATCTTCTGGAAATGTGCTAATCCAAGTTTCCTCTTCACCTGAGAATTGCCCCCCCACCACATCCTTGCCCCCCACAAAAGTCTGGAACCAGCCCGTGCTCGAATACACAATGCACAAGTCCTTCAGCAGCTAGTAAGTCAAAGGCAGGGCAAGTGTGGTGTGAAAAAAGGTACATGAACTGCAGTGTTTGCTTTTCTGAACTGAGCATGTTCGACCATCATTGTGATGTACATCTCACTTTCCCTAAGCTGCAAAGCATTGCTGTGGAAAAGGGGGGGGTTCTGCGTGCCGTGAACTCTTTGGGGCTGGCGGGGGGAGGCGTCTGTCTGGCCGCCATCTTCCAACTTCACTCCTTGCTTCAGTTCTTTTGCCTTTTTTCCATGCACATATAACCAAATATATAACATTGACCGCATGTGGTTCATTCTTTCTTTCTTTCTTTCCTCCTCCTTTTACTTTTCTCCCCTCTACAGCCTTATTGCAGTCTCCGTGGAAAAGCCTTTTTAAAAGGAACGGTTTGCCGTTAATAAACCTTGTCCATAGGGCATCAGATGATGCGGTTTCTATCAAGAGTAGCTCTCCACTGATCAAACCAGATTGTTAGTGGAGTCTTTTTAAACACTTGTGTTCCTTCAGAGCCATCTGAAAAACAACAACAGCAACCACAGCAAAATTGGCAGTTGCTGAAGAGTGACCTGTTCCAGGGTCTCTGGACATCTCCTGCTTAGCTTGCATCTTATCTGGATCTGTGCCTTAGCACCTTAAAACACTTTCAGCTGATCTGTTCCTTCTTCGCTGTAACAGGTTTTCCAGCACAAGTGTTGAGTTGTCCAGGAATATAGGATCTCAACAGAAAGTAAAGACACACAGCTGGTGTAGGATTGACTGGATATTCTCCCTTGCTCCCTTGCATGTGTGTGTGTGTGCGCGCGTGCGTGCGTGCTCTATGCTTTGGTTTGGTTTGGTTTCAGGGGCCATTATTTTGGGAAGACTGTATTTGAAATGCTTATTGCTAGAGATGTCTTAGCGTAGCAGAACACCTTTTAGGTGGGGAGGGAAGGCTAAAAATCTGGGTGACAAAATTGGGAAAGGAAGAAGTTGGCTTTTAGCAAGGGGCCTTAGCAGAGCACTCACTTGGTAGGCTTTCAGTCTCAGATCATGACTTGCCTAGTGATTGATTACATGTTTGAGCCTGGCCCAGCCATCCTTAGGCCAACATAAAACCTGTCCTCATTGCTGCTCAGTTGGGGCAGCAATGCCTGAATGATACCGTAAGACTTTACAAATCACTAGCAAGAGAAATGGCCTCCGAGTCGGTCCTTGGCATCTTCCGTGAAGGAATCTTAGGCGTGATGGCCTGATTCTGCTGACACGTGTAGCCTGGCAAGATTTTGGCTGTGGCCTGTGGGCGTGGAATCGCTCACATGCTTAGTTAACACGTGATTGTTCTCTAGGTGAGGAAAGCTAAATACAGATGCATAAAACTGACCTGACTGACCAGGTTATGAAATATTCTACCCTGCTGGGATCATACCTCTCCTTGAGAAATCTATCAAGTTGCGTTTTAGGAAGGATTCTGACAGTGTGAATTGCAAATAAAGGCAATGAGCAATCGGGCCGAAAAAATAAGCCCTGTTAATTGAGATTGTTAATTGAGATTGACGTTGGGTAGGCTTGACCTGAGAAATGACAGCTACAGAGTGAATATGATTTGCGCTTTTCAAGTATGAGAAGGAGCACCCAGAAGGCCACAGCCAAACACAAGCCCAGTGTTTCAGAGATGGACTAACAGTCATATGTTATAGGAAGTTAGATTCCAGCAGAAGGTTAAGAAACTCGTCTTAATGGTAAAAGTGGGGAAACTGGTCATTTAGGGGGGTTGTGAGCTCCTGACTGAAAGTTTTCAAGCAGAGCCTGGATCAACATTAGTTTAAGAGGCTTTATAAAAAGGGGGTTGGCCTGATCGATCTATAGCATAGCAAGATCTCTCCTATGGTCTATGGGTGTGGAATTGCTCATGTGACTTAGTTAACAGGTGATTGTTCTCTAGGTGGGGAGAACTAAATACAGATGCATAAAACTACTGTCAAACAATGCTGGCCATCCATGTAACAAAGCGACTTGCTCTTAAATACAAATTTAAAATGCCTTGGTAGCCTTGGGATTTTGTCTTGAAGTTGAAAACCACAGTGCTTCTTAGAAGGGGGATTTCTGCATGAGACCACTCCCACAGGGACTGCTTTAGAGCATCCCGCCTATGCTTCCCAGCAACTTCAACTCACAGAATTCCTCAGCCAGCATAGCTGGCTGGGGAATTCTGGGAGTTGGTCCACACCTCTTGAAGTGGCCAAGGTTGAGAAGCACAGCCCTAGAGTGCTGGGTCCCAGAAGATCTAGCAAAACCGGTTGGCTTGGGTGAAAGCTGAGCAAATGGCCTGGGGTAAGCTTGAAGGGAAGAGGGAGGGGTGTGGCAAGATGATTGGATGGCTTTCACAGATTCCCCAGAAACATTCTTCATACGTTCATTTGGTCAAATGAATGCAGTCTCTGTTATATATCTCCTTGCAAGGTCAGACTCCAAAAGTCAGAGCTAGACTTCGGAAACAAAGTACCTGAAGCCCTTTAGTAGCAAGGGCTGACCTCCCCATCCACGGTGAAGGCTTTTCAGGAGAACCTCTTGGACATCTCCTGTAAACCTGGTGACACATTTAGACCATCAACATTTCCCTCTCCGGCTTGTTTTTGTAAATAATTTCCTTTCTTTGACTGTGTTTCATGCCCCTTGAAGGCTTTTCCACTTCTCTGCCAGAAAATATAGGACTCTGAAATGTAGCTGAATGATTTATCCTGATCTTTGGGATTCTTCTGTCTTCCTAGGTGGACAAGCTGGATGCCTCAGAGTCGCTGAGGAAAGAGGAAGAACAGGCGACAGAGACACAGCCCATTGTTTACGGTAAGGCTTTAACTTGGCTTGCAATATACATAGCCGTCCATTAGTCCCTTTCAGGATGAACAATATTAGGCAGATCATAGAGAAGGAACAAGAAATGCTAAATCGATCAAAGGCATGAGATAAAAGAAGGCAATAGGAAGTATATAACAAACATCAACATCCATATGCCTTTCTGTACATTGCCTTTCGTTCTTTAAACTTTTCATGTCTGTTGGAGAGTGAATGAGTCACAGAGAATTAATGGATGAGGACTGAATCACAATACTGACACATGATGGAAGAGCGAATGGGTCAAGAGGAAGGGGAAGGCTGAGAAACTGTAATGGAAGGCACGTGCGAGGAGGATACTGGAAGGGAAGATCAAGGCTATCAGGAGGGAGGGAAGGCATTCCAGGAGAGGGCATAGGACAAGCACTTTCTCAGTCCGCAGCAAGACTGTGAGAAGAAGAGGCTTAGGCTAGCCCCTCCCTAGAGTCTCACAGGGTATATCCACTAGTTGCTCTAGCGTAGATTTAGTCTGGCGAGATTCTGTCTTTAGGGTGTAAGCAAATAAAGGAACTATACTGGACTGCACTGCCTCATCGTTGTTCTTGGGCTGGGCCTGACAGAAACATGCTTTACTACATTCTTACATTTCTGAATAACCTGCTGAAGTGCATCAATCTGGACAGCCTAACACAGAATCAGATTGCGCTTGTCCTTGTCACCATTCTCAAAGCCACAATTTTGCTCATTGTCCCCGCCTTTTGATCAAAATTCTTCCAAACACCTTCCCAGCCACACTTAACACATTAATCCCCCTGTAGTTTTTGTATTCACTCCTGCTACCTTTCCCTCTGTGTGCAGAAACACTAACGACATTCTTCCAATTGTTGGGCACTGACGACGACTTCCCCTACACGCTAAGCAAATCATACAGCTGCTCCATAAGCAAACTGCATCCATATTTTATCAGTGCTCCAGTAACACCATCTACACCTGCAGCCTTATTGCTTTTTCAACATTCCTATGCCATTTTTTATTCCCTTTTCTTAACTTCATAACAGAATCCAAGATTTATATGTTCACTTTATTTCCACTCTTTAATCTATCACAGTGTTTCTCAACCTTGGCAGCTTTAAGATGTGTGGACTTCAACTCCCAGCAAGCTGGCTCGGAAATTCTGGAAGTTGAAGTCCACACATCTTAAAGCTGCCATGGTTGAGAAACGCTGATCTATCACTATTGTTCCCATAAAAATCCCTGAAATACTTCTTCTACCAGTTCAATTAATTCTGCTTCTTCCGGGATAATCTCAGTGCTTTTATTTTTAATTCCACTTACTTGGCTGGAGGCTCCTTGTTTGCCCTCTTCACCCCCTTCCATCATACCTAATTGCTAACCAGGAGCTTAGTGCTCCCTACTTTCTTTCCCCAGAGAAAACCTAGAGTAACTGCTCTCAGCGAGTACTGACAGCCCATAGAGTGATAATAACAGTCCAAACAAAAGGAATTAAAAATAGCTGTCTCAAAACGGTCTTCAATAACGAAGCCACGAGCATTTATTTTCCAGGTATTACAAGTGAATATATTGTTCCTCTGCACCTTCAGATTTTTTTTCTCCTAAGGGTGGGATGTTAAAAAGAAAAAAAAAAAAATCAAGAGCCACGGCAGATTAAAAAGCAGGGGTGGGCAACTTTTTCAGCCAGGCCTGTAGCTTTGTGCCCCCACCTACCCGCCCCTTCGATCCTCAGTTGTAGGTGGGAGTGGAGTGATGATCTCATGTCACTGAAACAGGGCTGGAATTTTGGCCCTTTTTCAGTTGTACTTGTAGTGGTTTTGGCTGCTTCAGGCACCAATTTTACTGCTTCACTTATTTTTTAAAGAAAAACTAAAACCACGCCAAAAAAAATCAGTAAGCTTCTGTGTCAGGATCCTAGGGGCTGCAGAAATGAAAGGATCACTTGGTTTTCTAGTGCTCTGAGTTGGCCATTCTTAAGGAATCAACTGCCTGGGCCTAGCATACCTCTAGGAAGCCCTTTCCTCCATGTGAATGTTGCCAGCTATCCAGGTTCGTTTTTGCAGCCTTCTAGCGCACGCCTTCTGTGCTAGCAACCAGTAGGGTTTCAAGGCTCTGACTATGATTCAGAGGCCCACAACTAACCCATCCATTGCGCTTTCTCTATAAAGGAACAACTTTTATGAGACTCTGTTGGAGCTGCTGGGTTTAATTTAGCCAGCAATTTTTACAGATAGGACAACAGTGTTTTTCCCCCCCTTTTATTGTAATGTTATAAATCTTGATACGTTTTATTATTACAGTATAGATTTCAATGCGGTAGTGGTTATATAATAGGACTAAATGTTATTAACATTCTCTTCTTTAGAAAGCTTAAAGTATTGAAAGTAAAAGGAGAAAAGTAAAAATTCTATCAGTATTCATTGCCATTTAGGATGTCAGCATTGCAAGCGTAAAATAATTTAACTTTTCATCCCAAATTGAGCATAAGATTAAAAAAAAGAACCTCTGCAATCCACATCAAAGTATTAGTTATATAATAATAGTTTCAATCTTGAACTAATTACTTAATATTAAGATCTCCGCTGTATTGTTACTTAATGTATACAGGTAGAGGTAATGGTCACCTTATTCGAATTCGTACTATTCAGAGTGACATTTCTATGGAAAATAGGGCAATGGGTTCCAGCTCGACAGAAATAGGGAATTCAAAATGTTAAACATAAATTTTTATATGTTTATTAATGAAATACTATGTAAAAGAGGATAAACCCATATCCAAATCGCACCTGCTCTTCTGCTGTAGTTCTTCAAAATTAGCCTCTTCTTTTTTGAGCTTTCCTTGGACAGAAACGTCCTTTTCTTCATTTTGCATACACAACCGTTATAGTGTCTAAAACCCCAATGGCAACTGTGCTAGCCTCAATCATGCACGCGCTAGCCTGGCACTAATTGAATTTTGGCTTGTGTTAAACATGACCTGGTATCAGTATGTAAATCACACTACGTTGAATACTGCACTACTAGAATTCACGCTAATTGCGACCTAGCTGTGTGCGCGTGTGTATGTGTGTGCGTGTATGGACAACAGTGTCTCAATCTCACCAGGCCACTTAAGACACCATCTCCTCCTGCTTCAAAAGCTGAAGCGATGCGAGAGCTGTGCAAGTCATTCCCAGCAGAGCTTTGCGAAACGTCCTTCGGAGGAATGACTTGGTACGGTCGCTTCCTCTCCTGGCTGCCTGAGCACGCCTGCCTTACTGCAGGGATGGCCCCCAACATTTAAGAACAGGCGTAGTCAAAAACGTAGTGCTTGTCCTGACCGCTTGCTGCTTTCCTTCCTTCCTTAGGTCAGCCCCAGCTCATGTTGACAGCCGGTCCCAGCGTCGCAGTCCCTCCTCAAGCACCTTTTGGTTATGGCTACACCGCACCTCCGTACGGGCAACCTCAACCCGGGTTTGGGTACAGCATGTAAGGAAGCAAGTTGGGAGCCAGCATCCTTTTGTTGAACCTCCACCGTCCCTCTCACGCCGACTCCACAGGAAAAAGCCTCGTGTCCTCGTAACATTTACTTTATGAAGGACTGTGTTTTCTGTTTGTTCCTCCCCCCCCCGGCAAGCTCTCTGGATCCCACTTAATGCATCCCTCTTTTTTCACATTCCACGTCACTTCCCCCCCCCTCCAGTGGGAATACTTTTAAATGTTCCAGCAGGCTTTCTCTCTCTCTCTGATTTTTGCAAGATTGCTTCTTGACATTAAACCCCGTTCTCTTGTGACTCTTCCCATTTGCACTCTGTAACGTTGAAACGCGATTGGATCTCTTTAGGTTCAATGTACGTGAGCAGCTTGTAAAAGTGCACCGTCTCACCCCAAAGGCACATAAACGGCTCATAGCGTATTCTGAAGGGGGTGAGAGGAGGATTTGGTTGTGGAGTTGAAACACTAATCGGCAAAGCCCACCCCAGTTGGATCGCTTGGCTCTTGAAATAAAAAAAAGCTCACAGATATATACCGAGAACCTGTCCTGAATTTTAAAAACGACACACCCGGTAGAGGTCTCCTATGCAGGTTTCCAGTTAGATGTACAGAAAATGCCAGTGTTTGCTCACTCCATATGTAATCCCGCTGACCCTTCTGTTGTGCTAGTGTGCTTTCTTGTGGGGACCATTTTATATTCCACTGAGGAACAAGCGGGGGCACCATGAATCCAATCTTGCGTGTTTCTAACTAACCTTGCCCTCAAGTTTGTGTATCTTGGATATTGTGGTGTTCCCAATCACTTTTTCCCCCCCGAGTGTACAGAAGAGAGAGAGAATTAAAACGGGAGCGCGGGAAACCCAATTGCTGTTCAGTTTTGCTTGTGCAATTTAAAAATGACTCAAATTGGAAAAAAAGATAATAAATTACTGGACTGTGGACATCCTCTATAGTAGTTTTTCAGTATGTCTCTCTCTCCAAACTCCTCCATGATGTATGCGCTTGGCCTCAAAACAGCAAAACGAAAAACCACCCCCCCCCAAAAAAAGTTGGGCAGTGTTCTTCAGGTCAAAAGACAGGAACCAGCAACTTAGCAAAATTCCAAATTGTTACTGTGGAGATGTTATTGGCAGGTGACTTGCACTGATGGAGATTACTTGAGATGAGTGAGAAACGCTTGGAACTATAAACTGGCCGAGGAAAATTGATGGCACTTTTTCAGCCCTTAGCTGCGGCTGAGCCGGTGAAGGCATCTTCTACCCAAGTGAGAAAAAAATCTTTAGGGTTGTAGTTTTGAGTGTTTCCAGTTTTAAATCTGACAAAAGATCATGTTATAGGTATGTTAAGTTGCCTTAATATATTTAGCTTCGAAATAAAATTGACTTAAATGTTCAATGCTGTTTGAATTACTGTCCTGTTTATAAATGCAAATGACATCCGTTGTTGGAACAAGAACTCCAGATTTCATGCAGACCCAACAGGTGTTACGTGAAAAGAGTGGAGTCTGTTATATGTAGTTAGGGTGTAACTGGAATGGATCCAGGCCCTTCCTAGCACTAGAGCTGGCTATGGGGCAGGGATTATCACAGCCTGCAAAGGATTGGGTTTCTTGCAGGAGATAACTTCGTGGCTGAACAATTTAAAAGCAACAGAGATCAGGTCTGGGTAAAGCACTTGAAAGGGGTTTTTTCAAAACTGCCTTTCATTGAAGGGTTAAAGCAACTGCAACGACTGCCTTCAAAAGTGCCCTGGCTGTGTATTGCAGCCTCATCAGAAACCATCCTTTGGGGTAGGCCAGACTAGGAAACCAAAGTCATGCAGGCCAATACGCCTTTTAGTATAAGGTTATGGTAATTGAATCCTGCAAGTCTCAATGTGCTTCCGCCCCCCACCTCATGAGAACTAAGGAGAGTCTTAATCTGAGATGCTTTCTCAGGTTGGAGTTCTGCCCCAGACTCAGGTTTCTTTTATCTGACCATTTTCTTGATAGCTGTTCTTCCTCCTGTCCCTCAAGG